TTCAAAAATCATTTTTAATCCTTACTTAAGTGTAAAATTAAGTTTTAATCTTAAAACAATTTCAAAATAATCTTTCAAAGTATTTCGAACCATTTCAAAACCAAAAATTCCAGATTGCTCAGAGGGAACCGATTCCCCCCCCAAGGGGGTACCGATTTCCCCCTGAATGGTTTGACTCCGAGATTTCCAGAATGCTCGGAGGGAATCGATTCCCCCATAGGGGGTACCGATTCCCCCCTGTTCAAGGTCGAAATATTTGAATTTTACACTTAGGGAACCGATTCCCTATAAGGAGGAACCGATTCCCCCCACGCTCCAAGCTGTTTTATTAATTGTTTTCACACTAAAACGGCTATATTATCTTCATTAATTATCCCCAACGTTTAGAAGTGATTCAATGTGTATTTAAACAAGTTCTGAAGCCCTTGATCAGCAAGAAATCATAGAGAAACAAGAGAGAAAGCATCAAACACAAAGTTTGTGCAATTCAAGCCAATTTTCATTCAATATTCATTTTGCTTTCAAAGAACACTTATTGTGCTCATTTGTAATTTTCTTTGAGTGTTATTTTCTTGTTCTAGAATTGTGCAAACATCTTACCTTGTGAGGTTTTCTTGTAAGTTTGCAAATTTGTAATCTTCTCTTTGGGAAAAAGAGTGTTCTCAAGAGTTGGGGTATACTCTTGAGGGAATTGTAAGGTTATCTCTTTGGCCTCAAAAGAAAGAACAAATTAGTGAATTTGTTGGAAAATCCTTAGTGTAGATAGCTAAGGTAGTGGACGTAGACTTTATTTGAGAAAGTCGAACCACTGTAAATCGCTGTGCAATTACTTTCAATTTTCTGCAAAAGCTTCCACAAAAATTTTAATTGCCAATTCACCCCCCTCTTGGCCGATTCCGTCAATCGATTAACTCAACACTATTTTTTCTCAACTTTTTTTATTTCAAAAGTTATATTGATAATTTTTATAATTATAATTTATAGTTATTGTTATAGAAAAAATTATCACATCAAATAATAAAATTCAAGTTTTTTGTAATAAATTATTTTTGTACTTATATTTTTTAATCATTATGAAAAATAATACTATCAAAACCATTTATCCCTATTTTTAGTGTCAAAAATGTTATATAATAACAAAATATATTGTCATAAAGATTTTCCTCCATATTTTCTTGTGCCAAAAAAATCATATAGTAACAATTTTCGTAACTTTAAGTGTTTATAATTATTACAAAATAAACATTGTCACAAAAAAATACTGGTATTCACACTTTTGTGGCAAATTATACTTTTAGTTATAAATTTTAATTATAGTGATAACATATATTGTGATAAATATTTTTCTTCACTTTTTTTGTTTCAAAAATTTATATTGATAAGTTTTGTAATTATAATTTATAGTTATTGCTATAGAAAAAATTATCACATTAGAAAATAAAAATCAAGTTTTTGGTAATCAATTATTTTTGTAGTTATATATTTTAATCATTATGAAAAATTATACTATCAACAAAAATAAATAACTGTAATATAGATAAAATATAATCAACAAAAAACAACATGCAAAATTAACTATAATGTAGATAAAAATAAAAATAAAAAATAGCACCAAATTGTATTAAAAATAAATAATAGAAACATGAATGACCAAAATATATTCAACAAAAAACAGCATGCAAAATTAAAATAACTATAATATAGATAAATGACCATAATATAAAACAATAAATTGATATGCTCAAATTTGAAATAAAAAAAACATAAACTGTAAATACTCGGTAAAGTTAAGGGAACCTATACGATGATTAACCCCTAAACTAATGAATAAAACGAAAAAAATGAGCTAAAATTACTGGGATCATTTGACGATTAACCCATAAAATGGGTGAACAAAGCAAGAAGATCCAAGAAATGGGGGACCTGATACGTTATTTACCCAAAATAATTAAAATGAAAACCCCTCCCCCGTTTTTTCCGCTTCACTCTCAACTAACCTAAAAACTAATATACTCTCAACCCCCTCTCACACAGCAGCCACTCACCTCAACACAATAAAAAAAACAGACGCCGACCACCATGCTCTTTGCTATTTCAAATCAATCGGAGGAAATTGTTATTCTCCACTGGTTTTAGAAAAGAAGAATTGGTAGATAATTGAATAAATTAATAATTGCAGCTCCTGAGTCGGAGACGAGGAGCAACATATTTTACGTGCCAAGAGATGACTGCTTCTCGGAGGTGAAGCAGCTGACGTTCTCGGCAAAGACGATGTACTCGGTGTTTCACGCAGTGATACTGTCGCTGCAGATGACTATTATAGACAAGGATCTTGGGTTCTCGTACTTCACAGCCATCGACAAGCTTTTTAATGAGGGATTCACTTGCCTCCCTAGAAAGGACAAAGTTTGTGGAGATCAGTTCTACCCAAACTTCTCAAATCCATTTATGAAACGAATGCTTTGCGCTTTGAAACGCTTGCCACTATGGATCGTAAGTTCTCTCTCTCATACACAAATTTTAGGTCACATGGATTAAAGTATAACTACGTGAAATTTTATAGTTATGAATCACCATCGTAGTTATAAGTTTGTTTATGTTTAAAATGTTATTCCCTATTTGTTTCTTTTAGAAAATATATTGATTAATTGCAATTTTTCAATTGCATCGTTTTTTATTGAGTTGGATCCATGAATCAATCCTTGTTCCATGGTATTTATATGTGATTCAGCTTTTTCTATTTTTTATGCAAGTCTCTAAGAATGCCTAGTTGATCCGCAGTTTTTGTTTCACCTTTCGCTGCCTATTTGTTTGTTTCGAAAACTATATCTATCAATTACTTTCTGTTCTAATAGAGTTGTATTGATCCATGAATCTATCTCTATATTCCTCCTATTGATTCTCTCCATGAATCTATGCCTAATTGTGTACTTGTGCCAATATTTGTCTATGCATTGATCTTGGATATTTTAGCTGTGTTATGTATTGGGTACATGTATGCAAACTTATGCTGACATAGGAGGGGTACAAATTCTAAAATACGTTTACCCCTGGTTTTTATGCAGCTGATACATATCCAGCTCCAGCTTACACAACTCCTGTGCCAAGTGCTTCCACCTGCTAGCTAATGAGAATACTAATACCATAGTAATTGAGGTATCCTCAAGTTATTTTAGAAATTATCTCTCATCTCTTGGACTATCATACTTTTTGAAGATTTTTGTTGGGATCGAAATGTTACAGAAGAGGAATTGAAACAATTCTTTTCAACAGTTGGAGAGATTGTATATGTCAAGATTCCTGCAGCCAAAGGGTGTGGTTTTGTACTGCTTGCAACCATGTAAAATCTATGGACCTTACTAAGGAAAATTTTAGAGTTAATTAAATATGCACAAATGTATTTTGTTATTTGCCAATAAGATTTAAGAGATTCATGGGTTATAAATTCAAAATCAACACAAATGACATGATATTCCAATCATAAACCCTCAAAATCCAATACAAACGTGGAGTTGATCGTATCTTTGTTGATCACCCGATGTTCCTTGAGAAGGTTTGTATTTTGTTCTGTTAACCCTGTTTCCTTAACATGTTCTATTTTATTCTTCTATTTCCTTACACCAAAATGATGATTCAGGTATAGGGCAAATCTGGATAAAAATCTATGGCCCTAATGCAGGTGTGGACTACAAAGATAATCAATTGCGGTTTAGCTTATTATGCCAGGCCGCTCTAGAGGCACCCAGGGTTTTGAATTTAAACAACAACAAATATTTTTTCAGGACCATATGGTATGGATTGTTCCTCTTTGGCCTTAAACATGAAAGTTTCAACACATTTTTCCTGTGAAACTTAGGCATTAAGTGCTTCATCTTCTGCAGGGGAAGATGTTATCTTTATAGACAATGATTGTCACGCTGGTATTCTTTCATGTTATTTGAAAAGCATGTACCAGTCAGGGGGTTTAGAATGTTTCATCTTCTGCAGGGGAAGATGTTATCTTTATAGACAACATATAACTCTTCTATGACTTTACGTATACATTTATTTATTTGTTTGTGTAGGCAAACTTTTTTTTGGCACAAAATTTGCACTTTACTTTTCTCCTTATGATAGTGGTTTTGTTGAGTGTATAAGCGAACACATAAATTTAGTAACACATAAATATTATTTTCTCAATATAAAAAATTATGACAAGTAATATTTTTTTCACAATAACAAACTGTAACAAAATGATTTAGTCACAATAACACGATAAATTTAATCAAAGTAAAAAGTTATGTCAAATTTATTTCGTCATAATATTTTGTCAAAATAAAAAAATTGTGATAAATTTATTTAATCAAAATAACAATTTATAACTAATATTAATTTCTCATTATAAAAATTTGTGACAAATACTATTCTTTCATAATAACAATTTGTAACAAATTATTTAGTCATAGTACAAATTTATAAAAAAATATTTAGTGACGAAATAAAAGTAGTGAGAAAATAAATTTTGTTATAATATGTATTTTTGTCACGAAATTTTTTTTGGTTGATGTTATAATTTAAATTAATTATGGCAAAATTTACTTTTTGTGATTAAATAATTATTTTTATTTTAACAAATATTTTGTCTTTGTAACTTACATTTAGTGACGAAATAGCAATTGTGACAAAATAATTTTTGTTGTCTTATGTATTTTCGTCACAAAAACCATTTATATTTGATGTTTAAATATAAGTTAGTTATGACAAAATATACTTCTCATGAGGAAATAGTTAATTGATTGTGAAAAATATTTTATTAAGATAAGTTAACGAAATTTCATTGTTATAATAAATATTATAAAATGGTAACGAACACAATTTTGTCACAATATACTTTACATGACAAGATTGTTCTAACAAACATGGTAATAAATAAAATTGATCAAAATAAATATATAGTGACAAATTTAGTACTTTTAGTGATAAATAATTTTGTTGAAACAATCAAAATTTATTGTAGTGACAGATGCAACTAGACCTTTTTTATGCTCATTATGGGACGGGATGGGAATAACTGGAGCTTTTTGAGGTTGATTATGGGACAAGACAGAAGTGATTGAACCTTGTTGAGAATGATTCTGAGATTGGGAAGAAGCAATGGGACCTTGTTGGAACTGGCTTTGCAGTTGAACCGAAGCTTCAACACCAGTTGTTGGAAGTGCAGAGGTACTGGATGTGATCTTCAAACCTGGCTCGGAAGCAACTATATTAGTCTACTAGAAAGAGAACAATAGACCTCCTTTATTCAAAAAAGAGAACTGGAAGGGAAAAAAAGAAGGTTCCCATAATTCCATCTCTTAAAGAATATCCTCGCATCAAACACTTCAATTGAGCTAAAAATAGCATTAGATGAAGAAGATTACCAGGGTTATTTGTACAAGCTGCTGTTAAGTTTTTATCAGGCATATCAAGGGCCAAGGACAAAGCACTACGCGTTGCTAACTGTGCCTCGGAAAGTTGGGGAACAATGGAGTTTCCTTCCACATTTAGGTTACCAACTCGCTTCTTAATAATAGTCCATTTCTGCAAATAGTAGAGCAAACTTATCATAATTAGCAGCAAAAAAAAACAGAACGAATAGTATCTATAGCTTCAGTTGCATGACACAAATATAGCCATCCAATCAGGTTTCAAAGAATCGGTCAAAAATTAAAAATATACACAGTTGCAACAATTCCATTGCCGGGATTTGAACCCGGGATAAACTGGGCAAAACCCAGACATCATGACCGGACTAGATGACAACGGGCTTGTTACGGGCCAAGTCCATATTAGGAACGACCCTTGGTTTGGGTTATTTAATCAAGGCTTAGGTTATGCTTTTATTTCTTTCCACAAGTTTATTGATTATATTTTTTTTATTTCAGTTGATTTATTTTCCTTTTAAGAATAGCTTTCCTCTTTTTGTAAAGAGTCGGGTCTTTATTTAAAATGACATAAAACCCTAAGTCAGAATTTTATTAAAAGATCACTATAAAGTTTTTGTTCTCTCTTTTAACGAGTCAAGGTTCCAATCTCCCCTCCGGCAAGCTGAATCATTAATCTGAAGCACAATATCACTAAGATTGAGTTTTCAGAGCCAACGGTCCTCAACAATGGCAGAACAGTGTTTGACAAAACAATAAGTCGAAATATGCAAGAAGATACATCACACAATTATGTCGCAGCAAATTGCTGAAGTCGAAACTCAATCATCCCAACTCTTAAATCACCTGCATGGAGTAACTGACTAAATGCTGCTAAACAGGTCAGTGACTCCATGGCTGATACAAAGGTAGACCCTTTAGCTGAACGCAACCAAACCATCCATGACAACCTCTGCTAATGTCCTTCCCTTGTCCCATGCATTAAGCCCTTCTAAATCCATCACCAGCTTCTCGTCCTTGTATTATTCATCAACCATCCTAAACTCATTTCTGATAATCAGAAATTTTCTTTATACCCAATCCAAAAACCCTTCAATGCCATATCGAAAAAGTTTAATTGGTCTAACCCTGCTAAGTTATTTTTTAAAAATATTGAATGCAGGTGAGAAGTTTAAGGAGATGATTTTAAATGCCGACAAGAATCTTGAAGATTTTTATTCAATGGTGCTAATAAGTGAGAATAAATTTTTAGGGGTGCACGACCCTTACTGATTTCGACTATTACTAATGGAATAAACCTGTCACCAAGTTTATTCTGGCTTTGAGCTTGAGGACAAGCTCTTTTTGCGGGAGAGGAGTAATGTTGCGCTAAATCTATGTTAGGGAAGGCCCTTAATTTGGGTTATTAAATAAAGGCTCAGGTGCTTTCATTTCTTTTCATAGACTTTTTACCTTTTTTTCACTTGATTTATATTTTCATTTTAAGAATAGCATAATCAGTCGGGTCATTATTTAAAAGGACGCATGAAATAATAAAACCCTACGTATTTTATTAAAAAAAAAAACCTAAAAAGATATTTTTCTCTCTTTGAATGAGTCCTAGGGTTTCAGTCTCCCTTTCATAAGCTAAGAGGTTTTGATCTCCCTCCGACGAGCTGAATCCTTAATCCAAAGCACAAGATCACAAGATCGTAAAAGGATTGTTATTCTAAAGCAACAACTAGATGGCTAAAAGGAAGGATTGATAATTTGATAAAATGACTAAAGTTAACACACATAAAATAAATAAGTTATCTGGTTATAATTAGAAAACAACCTGAGCCAATTGTGAAGCAGTCCTCTCTCCTTTGAAGTCTCCTCGCAAGATGTTTGCCCAATTTCCAACACCACATTTCTGCACAGCAGAAATAAGTTCCATATCTTCTGCACAGCAGAAATAAGTTCCATATCTTCTGCTTCCGACCAAGGTTTTCTTTTCCTTCGAGCAGGTAGGTTTGCACCTGCTGATTCGTTTCCTTCCAATGTTTCAGCCGTTGCCACTGCAGGCAGAATCTGTTTCTGAACAGAAACTGGAACCGTAATATTCATCCCTTGAATGGAGCATGTGGGCTGCGAGTTTTCTGAAGATATTCTAGACGACTGCAAATTAGGTATATTTATTGTTAATGGGGCCTCTACCATTGAGCTGTTTGTGAGACTTGAGTCACTTGATAAACCAGAAGCAATCAAAACCTGACAAGAAAACCATTTCAGCTGACAGGCTTGGAAAAGAAAAGCAAGCAATTAGATAAATCAGTTGTGAAACTTGAGAGAAGAGCAGGTTAACCAAAAATACTATCTATTTGATTCCCATAAAGTTCAAATTAACCGTTCAATACTGGTCACGGGAAGCCATTGACCACATTATGTCAAAAACCATCTTCTACTGGCAACATTTCATACCACCTAGCCAGTTCAAAAGTTTGCAACGAATGGAACATTCAGATATCTAACAAGTAAGAGGTACTACCAACCAGGCCAAAAATGGTTTCGGTGTTAACTCTATCATTTATTATTTATATTTTATGTGCTACCATTACTGTTTTTCCATCCTAAAGATGTTACATGATCATCAACCAAAAATGATAGAAGATTAAACCTTTATCGTCATTTTTATGGTATATATATTTATTTTACTTACCTTCACACATGCTGCAGCCTCTGCTGAAGTTTCACCGCCAATAGGAGGGCAAGGTTCCAATTCATATTCTAAATCACTATCAGCATTCTGCAAGATAATAAGTTGATCAAATGACACTACAACCATAAGAACTTTGATCAATGGATGAAATACGATCATAAATTTTAATTTCCAAAGCAAAACCAGCATTTGGAAGGACATGAGTTACAATATCAGGAAAAATATACACCTCAATTAACCAAAGCTATCTCAATATACCAAAATCAAACAAATCCAAATGGTATACTAATCTAAGGGGTACGTTCTTTTGGAAGCAATTCTCTCCAGACATTTCAACATACAGATAAACACGTAAGGAAGTACAAGTAGATTTTAAATTAAATGCTTAGCATTGCCAGCAGATAGAAACTAATCGGAATAGCAGCCGTTATATAGCAGTAGCGATCCTGTCCAAAACCATTATTGCACGATCGCGATACTCGCAATGATCGCAATAACATTTGCTATGTCCACAATTGCAATAAACACAATGCAACCAAAAAGGAGGCCGCAACCATAATTTAAATTCCTGATACCAAATGCATCTCAATATACTCAAAAGATAGGCATCCAAATGGTATATTACTCTAAGGGGTATTTTTTTTGGAAGCAGACTTTATATTAAACCCTTAGCATTGCTAACTGAATATATATACCAAAGGTTTAAAAGAAAAAAAATCCAAAAAGCTGACCAAGGGTTGCGCTCCATGATCGAATTTTTCAAGCAATGAGTGGTGGTAGGCCAAATGGTGCCATAACATCTGGTATTCCCTAGCATTAGAAATCCCAGTAGAAGTCTTCTTGACTAAAGCATTCCAATTCAGCTTTACACCTGAATACTATGCCACTTCTTGCAACAGTGCCAGAATAGTGGTTTCTGTATACCTGCCCAAACCAAAAATCATAATTATAGAAAGAGAAAGCTTAAAAAATCCGAATATAGCCAGATAGATTGGGAAAAGGAGGGACCTTTGCAAAAGAGTTGAGGCATCTTCCTCACTGATTGAACCCTTTTTCTGTTTCTTTGTTTTCTCAATCATATTAGTTTGTAGCTGAGAAATCGCATGTCGCGAATGATGAAATTAGAGGGAAAGGAACTTCGAGATCTGTCAAAAACCCTAGTTGGGGTTTAAGGTGAGATAAAAACCCTTCCAATGGTGAGAAAGGAACAAGTTGAAGAAGGAAGGAAAGCGTGTAGAGAAGAGTGAATGAAAAGGAGGATCGTTGAAGAGCGTGGATATAACGCGCCAGACAGTGTTCTTGCGGAGAAAGTAGCGGGAATATCTCCGGTTGGGGGGATCTTGTTTTATTCTTTTACTAAAAGCCTTGATTTAAACAAAAAAACAGACAGATAGCAAGGAGAAGGTTATTAGATGGAGAATGCCTTGCCTTTCTCTGGGACTGAATACAATACGGGAGGTGGGTGGACGATAATACCCTTTCTATGTTCCTATTCTCGTATTATTGTTAACAAGTTTAATAAATTAAAATAAAATGAATTTATTCAATTAAAATAAATTTAATTAAATTTTCACATGTTTCATAATATTTGAAATCAGTGATACATGGTGTCATTTAATTTGAGGGTTAAATTAGTTTTAATTTATTAAAATTATAATTAAATTACTAGAATATATAAATAACAAAAATCAAATGTGTAATTATATCAAATATTTTAACTTTCATATCATATTCTTCGTTAAAAGTTAACGACTAGTAGTTTAATTTACAATAATATGACACTAATAAATAAACACGGACCAAGTGTCTTCCATGATAAGAGGATTATTATTAGTTTTTGAAGATATTGGTTAGAGCACCGAAAATATCGAAAGTGTGAACATTTAATATCAAAATGTTGAGAATAATCTTTAAACTGATATAGTCTTGTAATAGCCATAGTTTATCTTTTTAACTTTTGATGGTTTTAATCTAAATTCCAATTAAATAAACTGATGCATTGATTCTTATTTTTTAAAAATAAAATAAATTCTTGCTATTTCGCTCGATCTTCAATTTTATATTTATATCTAGTTAGAGTAATTATTATCCATTTATGATGCTGTATGTATAATTTTTTTGGATTATGTAAATCTTTATGGTGAAAAGGCATAATTTTTTGGAACAAAAATCAATTTTTATGGTTAAACATCTAACGCTAAATTGTTATTACGAATTATGAAGCTAATATTCTGCAGTTGTGTTATTTGCCTGTTCTTAATTCGAAATTTAAGTGGGATTGCAACCAGGTATACCCACTAAAAGGTGGGTCATTATATCATGGTCGCAACGTAGTATAACGACCACAACCACATTATAAATGTCGCAACCGTCTTTTGGATGTGTTCGAAATTAGGCTTCAACTTAAATAAAACACGTTAAAGTCATCACCGATCATTTATTTGTTCGTAAGAAAAAAAATGGTTGATCGGACACCATCTTACATGATCTGCGTTTTACCATAAATGTGTCGGATTCGGGAGTCGATTACAGTCAAGGAAGGATTAGCACCCTTGAACTGCTCTTTTGGTACCATTTTAATTTATCAGTTGTCTTAATTACGAAAATTAAAATTAAAATTTAAAGACTCAATTTGAATTACTTACCTTTGATCAACTAAAATTACCATTAAAAAGTCAAAAAGATGTTAGATTGTAAAATAGAATAAGTAAATAAATAAATATTAAATAAAAATAAAAAAGGGTTTTAAAAACGAATAAAATCAAGTTAAAAAAAAAGAATAATAGAATAAAAATAACTAAATAAAAAATGAAAAAATTTTAAATTTTAAAGGAAATAAATAATAAAAAGAGTGACAAAATGTTAATTTAAAAAAAGAAAAAATGTTAAATTTTGAAAGTAAGTAACAAAATAATAGAATAAAAGGAAAAAAGTAGGAAAATAAAATAAAATGATAAACTTAAAGGACTAAATTCGAATAAATTGAAATTCATGGATTAAATTGATGCTAAAAATGAGCTGCAAGAGAAAAATAAAAGGTTAGGGGACCAATTTGCAAAATATAAGAAATGTAAACATGCAGTAAATTGAATAAATTAGAAATTCAAGGGTAAATTTACAACAGATGACCAAAACGAATTACAGTTTAAACTTACAGGGACTGCGGAAATAATTTAAAAATCTGATATTTGTACTTTAGTCCCTCGGTTATAAATACCCAAAAACCAAAAAAAATCATTTTAACCTTAACCCCAAAAAACTATCTCCCCTTTAAAAAAACATCTCAACTCAAGCTTTGACCGGTCGAAGACCGACCACCCACCGGTGCCAAACTGCCACCCGGTCCGCTGCTCCGACCGTCGCCTCCGGTGGCCGGAAACCTAAAGGCTCACCCCTTTCGGAAGCCCTCAACCCCTGGAATCCAAAACCAAAGCCCAAATCCCCAAAATCCCCCAAAATCGACATAGATCTAAAAGAGTTCATTCGGTTTTTTACATTCCCTGATGTACTTTCTAACTTCCAGCGGTTCTTCATCTCTGACGATGCTCTCACACGTTCCCGCCGACCCTTAATGAGGCAAAACCTTGCCTTTTGGTTTCGGTTTCGAACGTTTATGGTTTTGTTTTTTCGATGTTTTTGTTTGGTTGCTTTCGGTTTTGGCCGACTGTTGCTTGTGTTTGCTGGTTTTTTTGTTTTTCTTTTGCTACATGTTGCTATATGTTGTTTCGTTTCTCTCGGTATTGTGATGGTTGTTGTAGTCTTGCTGCTCGTTCCCCCTTTTGCTCTCCCCGACGAGGCTTTTATAGTCTTTGATCAGTCGTTTGGGTCCCGATGATCTCGGGGTCATCCCCGACTTGCTCACGTTCTGTTGAGGTCGTCGTTGGGCCGGAAACCGGGATGGTTCAGTCCCGAGCGTTCGACCGAAAGTTTCGGCCAACTTGTTGGCACGTGGCCTCCACGCGTGCTGCTTGCTTCCTCTTGTGCGACGCTTGACTTAAGGACGAAACCCTAGTGGACATTTCTTTGCACTCTGGGCCTCCCACCGGGTCTGCTTGCTGGGTCAGGCTTGCAGGCTCGGTTAGGCTTCCTTTTTGGACCCGAACTTTGGAACTTTGGACTTATTGGACCTGAAAAACAAAAATCGGGAAAAATATTAATTAATAAAATAATTAACAAAAATAATTAATAAATATATAATAAACACTAAAAATAATATGTTTTAAAAAAATCATTTTAAAACTATATATGATATATGCTTTCAAAAATTATTTTCGAAACTATATAATATATATGTTTTCAAATTTTTTTTTTCAAAACTATATAATATATATGTTTTCAAAATGTTTTCAAAATGTTTTCAAAAACTATATATTATATATATGTTTCAAAATGTTTTCAAAAAAATATATTATATATATTCTCAAAGTGTTTTCAAAGATTATATATTATATATATGTTTTTAAAATGTTTTCAAAAACTATATATATGTTTTCAAAAATGTTTTCAAAACTATATATTATATATATTTTCAAAAACTGATTTTTTAAAAAAAAACTATATGTTTCAAAAAAAAAGAAAATTCTTTCAAAAACTATACTATATTATTATATATATTAAAAAACTCTGGATGAAAATGAATGTTTACAGCTGCCCCTCTTTGTCCTTTTTCGTGTAACGGAAAATAGGACAAAGATAAAAGGACACAAATTTTCATTCGGTATGAAGGGGTCACTAAGTCTAATATCCTCCCTTGTGGAGTTGAAAATTGACTCTGATATTGCAATTAGGAATAACTCCATGTTAAATTGAGTTGTAGATGACTCATTCGTCGCGAAGTTGAGTCAGTCTTGAAATGATATTCTTCTTCATGAAATTAAAATTGTAGTTCGAAATTAGAATCGAAAGGTGGCTTTTTATTGCCAACTCGTAGTCAACCTTGGTCTTCTTTTTAGTTTAAAGACCTCGGTTTGAAAATTCGACCGGAAAGTAGTTCATCGATGCTACCATGTGGTTGATATGACCTCGAGATGAATGGAATCGAACTCGAAGGTTTTTGTTGACAAATAGCCTTTCTCACCTTGAGTTATGCTATAAATTTGACTCGGATATAGGTCGTTGTTGCTAAATCATAGCCAACCCAAGTATTCTTCTTGACTTAAAGACCTCAGTTTAAGCTTCAACCGGAAAGTAGTTCCTCGCTGCTACCATGCGGTTGATATGTGATCGAGCTGAATGGAATCGAACTCAAAAGTTTTTGTTGACAGATAGTCCTTATTGCCTTGAGCTATGTTGTAATAGGATGGGAGATAACCCCCTATTGTTGAAGACAACTCATTTGATGTGAAACTAAGTCAATCTATTTGGGCACGATATCCTTCTTCGTGAAGTTGAAATCATGGATGGCTCATTCGCTGTGAAGTTGAGCTTTGAATTGGATGTCATTCGTTGTGAAGTTGAAATCCAATCTCGAGTTATAGTGCTTCGCCAAATTGGCTTTGGG